CCCCTACATCATCTCCTCCATAGGACTACATGCAGTGTGGACACATACATTCTCTAGCCAGGACCTTGTCCAATGCAGGAGTTGCACTGCCCAGCTGCTGCTCTCCGACTATCCATTTCTAAGCTCCATAATGGCAATTCCCCTTTCATGTTTAGGCAGAAGGCAGCATTGGAGAGAGCCTCACTTCTCTCCCTGACCATCAACAGTAGCACAAAGCCCATGCAAACCATCAAGGGTACTGGAGCTCATCTGCTGCACACCAATTCTGGTGTTCATCTCTGTGACATCCTGAGCCACAGTAATTATCCCAAAACAACCCAAGATCCCTCTGGTCATTGGAACTGAGTCCCTTTTCATGTCCTTGGGCCTTCCTTGGACGGAGAGAGTCATATCTCATGGCTAAGAGCTATAGGTGCCCCCCACTGCCTCTGCCTATCTCTGCTACTCACAGCTACTGCCAAGTTCTTGGCTTGGAAGTGTCATGGGGGCTAAGATGGACCTTTGTGCTCTCCAGTACTGGTCCCTGGAGTTCTCACCACCTCTGGAAGCTTTGAATCTGCTCAATGTCTCCTTACTTGCCAAGCCCACCAAGACTCAAGATGGCCAATCCCAGGAACTAAAGCAAGAGCTAACCTTTTAGATCCACACACTAGGTTCTCCTCCATCTGGAGAGGAAGACTTTTGCAGACCAAGCTCATAAATTCTGAATCCTGCTAACCCCAAGGCCAGGGGATGGGACACATGCCCATGGACCCAAAGAAACGGTGCCCTTTCCCTCCCCCAAATCTCTGTGCTGAGTACATCTGGTCAAAGGTGAGAAAGTCAACTTAGAAGCCGAGCATGCAACGGCTTCTGGCAGCTTTGGCACCACATGGTAGAGGGTCCGTAGGTCCCTCAGTACAAGCCTGGAAAGAGGAGCTTCAAAGAGATCTCCACTCAGAGAATATGACTTGTGTATTCTACAGCATCAGAAGACACAGGGCCTTGTATCTGATTCTAAGGATAAGAAACCCAAGGGTCAAGAGGAGGAGGCTGCCAGCATAGTGGCAGGGCAAAACAAAAAGAAGCAAACTCCATTTCCACCAGTCAGAGGACAAAGGCTCTAACAGGTAAGAAAACTGAAGTCTGTGGCTGGAGCCAGCAGTGATGGCAGGATTATCCTCTGCTATGCCAAAAATCTGTGAGTTTCCATGGGTCAAGCAGACACTCCAGGAAGTAAATGTGCTGGAGGAGCCATCTTGATGTGATTTCCCAAAAAAGGCAGACTGGCAGAGCAGAAGTACTCCTGTGCTTTCAGGGACTAGAGCTAAGATGGAAGTCAAGAGTTCAGAATAACAAAATATAAAATAGCTAGACAAACACAACAGCATATACATATGAATGACCTTGTAAGTTACAAACTAGAATACTCAGGCCAGCCTCTGTAATCCCAGCACTTTGGGAGGTGGAGGTGGGAGGATCACTTGAGGTCAGACCAGCTTAGCCAACAGGGGGAAATGCCCCTCTCTACTAAAAATGCAAGATTAACCAGGTGTGGTGGCACACCCTTGGAGTTCCAGTTACTCAGGAGGATGAGGAGGGAGAATCACTTGAAGCCAGGAGGCAGAGATTGCAGTGAGCTGCAATCGAGCCACTGCACTCCAGCCTGGGCAACAGAGTGACGGAGTGACAGAGTGAGACCTTGTCCCAAAAATAAAAAGGAATTAACAGGAAAATAATGGTAATTTATTCTTAGTTGGTATACAGAAACCCTAATTCAATGGTACAGTAGGTGTACCTTTAAATAGATCAGTAGAACAAAAGAAGTTCAGAAATAGACTTTAGTATATGATCCAGTATATGATTTCAAATCACTAACAGAAAAAAACAGTCAATTAATTGTTTGTTTGTTTTTGGAAACAGGGTCTTGCTCTGTCACCCAGCTGGAGTGCAGTGGTATGACCATGGCTCACTGCAGCCTCAACCTCCCCAGTTCAAGGAATCCTCCTGCTTTGGCCTCCTGAGTAGCTGGGACTATAGGTACGCACCACCACACCTGGCTAATTTTTGTATTTTTACTAAAGACAGGGTTTCGCCGTGTTGACAAGGCTGATCTTGAACACCTGGCCTATCCACCCGCCTTGGCCTCCCAAAGGGCTGAGATTACAGGCATGAACCACCACACCTGGCCCCTGCTAATTCTTATTTTCTGTAAAGACAGGGTGTCGCCATGTTGCCTATGCTAGTTAGAACTCCTGACCTCAAGTGATCCTCCCACCTTAGCCTCCCAAAGTGCTGAGATTACAGGTATGAGCCACCGCTCTTGGTCTCAATGACTATTAATAGGACAACTAGCCAACCATTTAGCAACGATTTTTATTTAAAAAGACTTTCCCCAGCCTTACTCCCTATCCTAAAATAAATTTCAGATGGATTACAAATTTAAATGTTTAAAAAAATGCTAGATTATATTTAGTACCTTGAGGTTAGAAGGTCCACCATAAGCGAAAAGACTGACAAATTTTGACCATATGAATTTAAAATTTTTGTGTGGCAAAATATAATACAAACAAGGTTTAAAAAAAACAAAGTTATTGTTTCTAGAAATTACAAACCACAAAAATTGTTTACAAAATATATGACAGTTAGGAATTTAAATTACTAAAATATAAAGAGCTTTTTCAAATCAATGAAAGAAAAACAGGCCAAGTACTGAGAAAAAGACAACTCACAAAGAATTACAAGTGGCCAATCAACAAGCAAAATAATCAGAGAGATGCAGCAAAACATTGAACATCCTTCTTCACATCCCAGATTAATCAAGATTAATAATACAACAGCACTCAGTGGCACTGAGGCTTTCTGCTGGTGAGAGTGTATAAATTTTTGTGTGAAACTCTTCCAGCAATCAGCACTCCAATGTAAAGTGTACATAGTTTCTATTCCAACAACTTCACTTCCGGGAATGTGGCCAAAGTGATAATCGCATACCTTTATACAGACTTGTATAAGGACAATAAACATGTGCACAACAGAGTATTGGTTAAATGAATTATGGTACAAACTTATAATGCAGTCAAGAGTGACATGTAAGAATGTAGCCAGGAAATGTTGATGAGTGAAAGAATCATGTTACAAAATCACACACAATTTGACTCCATTTGGGTAACCCTGAGTTGAGTCTGACTCTATTTTGGTAACCCTGTGTTGAGCCCAAAAAGTATGGGTCTAGATGTGCAGCCCCTCCCCACACCGCCACACAGATACTCCACCACCACCACCGCCACAATGATTCACTCTCTCTGAAACAACAGCACCCACTGCCTTTTAAATTGACTTGCTCCATTGGATCACCCTCGCACAAACTGGGGCACAGGAAAGGCCACACCCTCCCCCCCCAGAAGCAGACACTGCTTTGTTGGTTCAGTCTAACCAACAAAGGATGTGGTAGGCAAAAGGTTCTTACAATGCTATTTGATTGACTTCTATGAGACTGTTGCATTCCTCTCAGAAGAACAGAATGGGAAAACAGAAGGTTTAGAAAATCAAAATGTGAGATCAGGAATGAAAAGGGAGCATTGAGTATTCTTTTTATTTCCTTTAAAAATCAATTTAAATATTAACTTTATTCCAAGCTAATATGGAATTTCAAGATAATCACTTCTGCTCTGATCTTACCTTAAGCGCCCGCCCCACTGCAATTTCAGGTCTTGAGTCAGAGAATAGACTATTACCTCTTCCCCCTTTAACCTCCTTCCGTTTGCTTGGTTGTTTGTGGCTGCTTCTAGAAGGGATGGGTGAAGGTGCCTTACAGTGAAAAGACAGGTATACCTACACACACACACACACACACACACACACACACTATATATATATATATATATATATATATATATATATATATATATATAATTTGGAAATTCAAAGGCCTGAAATTCCTGGGAACCAAAAAGGCTGTCCAAAGATTAATTCCATAGCTAGCTCAAGGGCTTTCAAATGCTAGAAAAGAGAACTACTGCAGCCAGGAGACTTGGCCCCACAATTCAAGTACTAACACTGAGCAATTCTGTGTTCTAATTTGCAGCAGTTAGAGGAAATGCTGAAGTCCACATTTTTGCTTTTTTACTAAATTTTTTTGGAGACAGGATCTCACTCTGACACCCAGGCTGGAGTGCAGTGGTGTGACCATGGCTCAATGCAACCTCAAACTCCTGGGCCAAAGTGATCCTCCTGCCTCCACCTCCTGAGTAGCTGGGACTACAATTGCACACCACCATCCCTGGCTAATTTAAAAAAAATTTTTTTTTCAGCGATGGGGTCTTGCCGTGTTGCCAGGGCTGGTCTTGAAGGCCCTTCTGGGTACAATGCAGAAAATAGTTCCTCTTCAAAAGGTTTCAGTTTCTAGTTTCTAGTTCTTTGTTCTATTCTAAAAAGTAATCTTACCCATTCATCTATCAGCCTCCTTATCTCTGCTGTGGCTAAACACACCTAAGCATTTCCCATCACCTATGTACCTGTCCTTCCTGTCAAAAGCCCACCCTTGCCTCCTTTGATGATGTCAACAATAGCAATCAGAATTAGCCTAAATTGTGCAGTCTGACCCCAGCTCACAGGAGGAGGACACAAGATCAAAGTCTGCATTGAAGATAAAAACTCTTGCCCTCCTTTGTTCTGAGTGATATCCCTTGCCTCTGCCTTGCATGCAAGAAGTACCCTTCTATAGAAGTAAATTGCCTTGCTGAGAAAGCTTTTGCCTAAGTGTTAGTTCCATTTTGCGGCACCAAGCACTTTTACTTCTAACAACAGTCACGGTTACTGAAGTTTAGATAAAAAAGTGTCACCCCCTATGTCAGCCCTCCCCTGAAACACATGTGGACTCTAGTCTGGCCATGGGCACAATACTGTTTTAAGCCACTGTAACTACACTCCCACCAAATCCCAGTTTCTAACAGGGGGCACAGAGCATTTTTAGAAGATGCTTGGTAACAAAATAATTAACCAAGGAAAAAACAATCTTAGTCACAGGATATTTTTACTGGAATTCAGACATTACTTTTGAATATAAGAAATTGGAATTGCATCAAAGCAATGCTGCCTAACAGACACAGCAGGAAACTTATTGGCATGGCCAGACTGGTATATTTTCTTATTAGTATATCAACTAATTGTAGGAAAACAACTGTTTCTAAAGTGCTTGAAACGTTTGCCTACGTGACTGCTCTCTTTTTCAATGACCTCCTTCATAAAGTCAAATTCTCTCTCAAACTTAAGCCCATCTCACTGCATATTGTAAAGAATGGATTCTGAATGAATTAACAGAGATGCTTATATAGGAAGTTGCAGAGATTCTCTTGCAGTCAACGTCTAGAGGAGCTGACCCTCAGGCATCACTCAGAGGAAGTCCCAGCCAAGATCCACAGATGTGTAGCCTTTGGTCAATATCACCCTGTACATCAGGAGTTTCAAGTTCATTGCACAAAACTAGTCCCATAGTAGGGAATACTCAGCATTCCTGAGTTTTCTCCTTTTGGGGGACCCCACAGGGATAGCCACCATCTTGATCTAGGAATGGCACCAAGCTGGGAATGGAGAAAGTTGCAGGCCCACATGCTCCCTGGATAGAATTCACACGTGCCTCTGTGCTGGCACCTGAGAAGCTGTCAGAACAACTGCCCCAGCAGCAGTGCATCCTCCCCACGCAGTGTCCATCTGTAATCTAGACATGGAGAAGGAAAAGAAAAGAGACAAATATGAACACACTTTGGTTTTCCCACTGAGCATCTCTACGCACAGCTCACATGCACACTCATGGGAAGAGGCAAGGGGAAGCAGCACGGAAGCTCAGCCACCCCTCTGTGTGTGGCCAGGGCAGCCATCACTGGTCCTGCTCTTTTCCTGGGAAGGCCTCCCCTGTGCTACCTGGAGGTACAGGGTTAGCCGTGCCTTTACCACTGAGTGTGTTCTGCTGAGCCGAGGACAACTTCCACACACACCCCTTTTGACTCCCTTCATCCCCAGCTGTTCATGACTCGAATCCATCCTCCCCTCCATTCCACTCATTTCTCAAAAATGACACCCTCACATACCACACCGCTGAGAAGGAGAGGAATGCGAGAATGATCACAACAGCCACGGAGCCCAGTCCAACACCCACCATCTGCAGCAGGGTGAGTGACGAATCTGTGGGACAAAACCACATGCTGAGGGCTGAGTGCATGGCATCGCCACCTCCCAGGAGGCACACACCCCACTGCCCTCATTCCATTTTAACCCAGAGCTTGGCCCCATTTAACAAAGAATTCCAAGAATGCCCAGCGTGCCTGTGTGTCCCCTGAGCTGGCCCTGTGGATATGCAGCCTCAGGAAATTACAGTTACAGGGTATTTCTGAAAAGGAAGTGTAAAGCCAGACCATGTTAAAGTTACAAAAGAGAAAAAAGCTGATCTTGTTGAGCATACAAATACTACGCAACTTGCTAGGTTTTTGCTGGTCCTTTCTCAAGTCAATTACATGTGATAGATTTTTATGGCGCATTTTCTTTTGCATGGAGGGAGAAGTCTTTATGACATTATTTGAATTTGGTTCCAAAACTGATAGCCCTGATGATCAGATATAGCAAAGGAGTATCCTTTGTTGAGTCACCTGTTGTTTGTCACCTGATTCACCTTTGTTGAGTCACCTGTCATTTTCCCTATACCTCAACAAGGATCAAACCTCCCTGCTTTGCTCAGCAGGTTTACTGAGAGGATAAAATAAGAAAATTGATGTAAAAATACTTTGAAAGACATACTTTCTGTTTTGGGACCATCATATGCCAACTCCAGGGAGAGAGATACCCGATTACAAACTAACAAACACCCACATCTGAGTTGCACATTTGGGCCAAGTGACTGACTTAGAGCGTCATCTTCTAGATTAGAGCAAAATTTTCATTTTAATTTGCAAACACTTATTTAGCATTTACTATGTGCCATACACTGTTCTAAGCACCTCACACATATTAACTCAGTCTCCTAACCAGCCTTTACATTGGATACTATCATTATTTCCTTTAGGAACCATGGTGGGGAGTGGTTAAGTACAGCTCAGGTCTTTACAGCCAGGTTAAGAGCAGTGCATTTCTATTGGAAACTCCGTACAGTACCTGGCACTAGTAAGAGGAGCCATAGAATACACCTTGTGTTAAACAGCCCTGCAGAACTTGAAACCGCCTTTGCAAAAATTATAACTGAGAAAATTATAACAGTGAAAAAGATCTGACTTAACTGACTCCATCTTGCTTCCAACCTCCAACTGTCCTTGTTCATTCCTGGGCGTAGGCTGAACTAACTTTGGGAGGAACTCAGTTTATAGGATTTTTTTTGTCTCTTGTTTGTTTGTTTTTTGAGATGGAGTCTCACTCTGTTGCCCAGGCTGGAGTGCGGTGGTGCGATCTCGGCTCACTACAACCTCCGCATCCTGGGTGCAAGAGATTCTCCTGCTTCAGCCTCCTGAGTAGGTGGGACTACAGGCACACATCACCCTGGCTGGCTAGTTTTTGTATTTACAGTAGAGATGGGGTTTCACCATATTGGTCAGGCTGGTTTTGAACTCCTGACCTCATGATCAGCCCGCCTCAGCCTCCCAAAGTGCTGGGATTACAGGTGTGAGCCACTGCACCCAGCCTACAGTTTAACTTTGAAACAAAGATGTTAACAGCCCTTTCCCAAAACAAACCCTCTTCCTACCTGGGGACTAGACTGCCTTTGCAGGACTAACAAATTAGCCATGAGATTAGAAATTACGGTTTAAGAGTCCTGCAGCTGGAGCTTGCAAGATTCTGAACCTCTCAAATTGCTCCTGGGGATAACATCACTACTGTAAAGCCTAAGATCAGTGCTTGAAATATTTTGCAGACCCTGGAGCAGATGGCACAAAGGAGATCCATAAACTGGCTCATCTTACCTTGTGTCCCCCACCCGGGAACTGACTCAATGCAAGCGGACACCTTCGACTCTCTATGATTTCATCTCCAACCCAACCAATCAGCACTCCTGACTCACTGGTCCTGTACCCCCTACCAACTAAGTTATCCTTAAAACCCAATCCAGAGTTTTCAGGGAGACTGATTTGAGTGATAATAAAACTCCAGTGTCCCATACAGCTGGTTCTGTGTGAATTAAACTGTTTATTGCAATTCCTATCTTGATAAATCGGCTCTGTCTAGGCAGCAGGCAAGCAAAACCCAACGGGCAGTTACTAATTCTCAAAAAGCACTGCCAAGAGTCTTTCTAGAAAACATGGTGTATCTTATTTGGTTGCTTTTAGTCTTTATAAGAAAAATGGCCTTGATACTTTAAGACAATAGATTACTTATTTTATTTTTATTTATTTATTTATTTATTTTTGAGACAGAGTTTTGCTTTGTTGCCCAGGCTAGAATGCAGTGGGATGATCTCAGCTCACTGCAACTTCTACCTTCTAGGTTCAAGTGATTCTCCTGCCTCAGTCTCCCTAATACCTGGGATTACAGGTATGTTCCACCATGCCCAGCTAAGTTTTGCATTTTAGTAGAGACAGGGCTTTGCCATGTTGGCCAGGCTGGTCTCAAACTCTTGACCTCAGGTGATCTGCCCACCTTAGCCTCCCAAAGTGCTGGAATTACAGGCATGAGCCACTGTGCCCAGCCAAGAAGCTAAATTATAAAACGGAAGGAGAAACCATGATTAAGTGAAGAATTAGCAAAGAAAAAAATATTAGGAGAGTGACTTGAATTGCAAGATGTAAAACAGTGCAGTATTAGTATAAGAATAAATATATTGGAACAAAATAGCCTAGAAACAAATCCAAGTATATCAAATACTTTCAAAGCTTGAATACTGGAGTCAGATGTCCAAGTCTTTATCTGAACACCACCACTGTCGGTGTGACTTTGTCCAACCTATGCATCCATTCTGTGCCTCAGTCTCCATGCTGAGGGATGCTGTAATAACATGGGAATTATAGCAATACTACCCACCACTAGGTAGTGTGAGAAATCAGTGAGTTAGTACAGGCTAAAACAGTGCCGGGCACAGAATAAGCAATAAGCAAATGTTAGCTATTGTTAATTATTGTTTTTTGTTGTTGTTGTTGTTTTGATACTGTTTCAGATCATTGGGGAAATGATAAATTATTCATAACTAGTGCTGAGAAAATTGGCTAACCATTGAGAATGAATTAATTTTGATCACTAGACCTTATACCATATACAAAATAAAATCCAAATTTTATTTTGGATTAAATTGAAACCTAAAAGGATCAGGAAATGTTAGTGAATATTTACCTAGTATTAAAGGGGGTAAGAAATTTCTAAACATATTTGTTAGCACAGAAACCTTAAAATAAGAGAATGAGAGATTTAACCACTTTAAAAAGCACGCACTTCTTATACCAAAAACTACCATAAGCAAGATTAAAAGGCAAATGGCAAACTAGGTAAACTATCTAGATAAGAAGTTAACATATAGAGAGTGTCACAAATTAATAAAGACATACCTCCATAGCAAAATGAGCCAATTCTATGAAAAGGTAAATCACATGTAAAACATGATTACAGATGATCAACAAAACTTTGATCAAATGCTCTATGTCAAGTAATAAAAATGCAAATTAAGGCATTAAGATCCCATCTTTGTGCATAACTCAGAAACATTTTTTTTTAATGCCATCTTTGCATACTAATTATCTCAGTTTGTTTTGTTTTGTTTTGAAGAGAAAATACAGTTCTGGAGATGGATGGGGGAGCTGGTACTTTCCTGTACTGGCATTTCATCCAATCTAGCCAGTATTCCTTCCAAATTCCGTCATCAATTTTTTTCCTGTGTGTTTTTTCCTCTATACTTTTGCCCTCTGTATATTTTAATCACCGATTGATGAGTTTGTTAAACTGAAGATGACTGTGGACAGAGATCCATGTCATGCATATTCTTGGGTTTGATTTCAACTCATTAATAATTGTTAATGAGTTGATGTCAACTGTGCTTAGTCATTCAGCTTGTTTGTAAGCCCACATACAGCCCACATGTCACCACATTGTCCACAAGGACATTATTAAATGTTTGTTGAAGTCAAAATACATTATGCATGCCATATTTTCCTGTCCAATTACTGACTCTGTGCAAGAAGAAACGGAAAGCAATTGACCTAATCTGCTCTGACTCCTGGGAACTGCTGTTTCTTCTACTAGGAATACACAAACCATCACTTGAAGACCTTGTCTTGCCTTGACTTCAGGTTACCATCATCTACACTTCCGGTGGCTCTTCCTTTGTACAAAGTTCCTTGTTCTTTGCTCATCTCTAGTCTTCTTAACATCTCTCCATTTCCTTCAATATTTCTCAAAGATCACTTGCAATGGTTTATCATCTTATGTGAAAATTATATGAGCCTGCCAGAATGTGCTTCACCCATGTTGGAAGACTTGAACCTATGTAGGGGTAGTGAGCTCTATTCTTGCTTCTAACTCTCCGCTCACAGACCAAGAGGACAGAAGCAAAGTAAGAGTTAAGGAAACTGACTTTCTCTTGAACATCCACCAGCAGGATCTACCTGGGCACAACAATTCCTTACTCTAGACATAGTATTGTAAAATAATGTTTATTTATTCAGCATAGCACATTTGGGTTTTGGCTCCAGGAATGATTCTTGCTGGTAGACCAGTTCCTGGTTATACACCTTTTTGTCTACTTTGTATATATACTCTGAAATCTGATTCAATCTAATCAAGAGTGCTTATGAGTGTTGCCACACAAGCTTCCTTAGAGACTGTTCTCATTAATTCCTTACTAAGAAAATTTACAACTGGCAAATTTGAATAGTGTTTTTTATAGCCTCACCATCTTTTGGTTATCCTCCCTTTCCATGGTCTCATGCCACAGAACCATGCTTATTTTTCTTCTGAATCACTTGTAGAATATTTTTTTTATAAACCCAAGTGAATAAATTATGTATTATATCCCAGATCAGTTACTCAGTCTTGGAGAAAGTAAATCCGTTAGGACTAAACTTCACCATTCTCTTTATGATGGCTCCCTCAAGAGAGCTAGTGCTCAGGAGTGATGGGGCCTTTCTGGGCTTATCTTTTACCCCTTTCCTGATAGAAATATCACAGGTGCTGAAGAGGAAGTTAGAAAAGTCCTATTTCTACTCTCAGACTTTGTG